ACCAGAACCAAGGTGAGTGCGCGACCAAAGGCTTATCTAGGTAAAGATTGGATAGGATATGATTGTTTGTTGTTGTTTGGGTGGATTTCGTGTTGTTATGTGATGGATTCGTGCAGGAGATTGATAGATCGTGGAAGGAATCGAGCCATGAGAGGATAGGCTTGTTTCCTCGATTCTGCGATGTTGCGTCGATCGACGCAATTGCTTTAAGGTCAAAAGTCTTAGAGAAACACTCAAAGTAAAAAAAAAATATTTGAGTCATTTCAGTCGTCGCCCAAAATGTTAACTCAGGTTGAATATGTCACGACCATGTCCCGATGATTTTTAATTTTTGCGCAAAAATGTTTTTGGATCGAACATGAAGAATGAAACAGAAGAAATTTTTATTTAAAAGGAATTTAAATGGATTAGGCTTATATAATGTTTCTTCTTCAACGCTAAACGAACCCATCAAGCCCAATTAACCCATCGAAAACCCTAATCATCCACTATATAAAGGGAGAGGATGTGAGACTTAAAGACCAAGAGTGTAGCTGCGGCGAAACCCTGGCCGTTTTACTTTTCACCTTGTAAACCCTAGCTGCCCTTGGAACTGAATTTTACCACCGGGTTGAGAGACGATTTCCCGACAAACCGTCACGAACTGTGCGACGATATAAATAGCTGTGGAAAGGTCCGAGTCTCAGCTTTCCAGAAAATCTAATAACGTCTCGATCCAAGTTTTGTGGTGAAAGTTATGGCCTGTTCTTTCCAACTGTTGCGATATGTCTTATTCTCGAACAACCGCAGATTTGACCAGTTTCGGTGAGGAATAGAAACCAGGGATCAAATCTATTCGGATCGATATGAATATTGGTAAGGACTTTTCTGACTCTCTTATTTATCCAAAGCAGAAAGCGGTTTGTCATTTGAAGTTGTGATATGGAAGTTATGGATGTTTTCTCGTAGTTGTTATTTGCTGTGAGAGTTTCTGACCAATCAGAGGAGAATTTACGCTGCAGTTCCGTCAATGATTGGATGAAGCTTATATTTGGTAAGAAGATTCTTAACTCTCTGATCTAGTAATATTTGAAAGAATTTTGTCATTCAGCGTTATGGAATGAATGTTATGGATGTTTTACTTGGACTGATCTGTACAGAGTGAGTATGCGACCAGCCGACTTCGCATACGTTTTCCGGCCAAGTCTCGATGAACTAGATGTTGATATGGGCGTCGTTAGAAAGATCACGGATTCTAGTTTTTGTAGAAGCTTTCGGCTCTAAATTACGAGGTATGATCTGCTCGTAATTCGTATTTCAATATTGAGAAACATCACTGTTTCTGAAACTGGAATTCTTATTTTCATATCCGATTAGAGAATTTGTGAGCTGATTTCCTGTCGTTCTGAAATGACCCAAGAGACGATATGGATATCATTGGAAATCTCCGAGCCATGGCTTTCTAGAGGCACCAAGTTTGTCTTGATCTGAGGTACGAGTAAGAAGTTATAGTTGTTTTCTTCTGACTGGTATAATTTGGCCGAACTGAATAAACATTTTAGGAAGTTTAATAATGGAATGTTAAACATGGGTTCCTAATCGCAGATTCGCAGTAGCTCATTCTTCATGTTCATTCTTCCATGTCAATCTATCAATAAAGGCTAAGGTGAGGGTGTTGTCTAGATTACTTTAATACTAGTTAACACTAGATGTTCTTACATGTTAGTCTAGGGATGGAATGTGATGTTGTTGGTTATATGTGCTAAGTCTAGGA